TTTGCCCCTTAACTTTTCGAATTTAAGGGTTTTTACCTTCCATATTATAATATATGAATTTTTACCCTTCATATTTTCGAGTTTGAGGAAATGAGACAAAATTTAACGCCGGAGTGTCACGTGTAGCACGTGCACCGTTGGCCTCCGTCAAATATACACATATCAGCGCCACCTCAGACTTTTTTGACAACTTGGCATGCCAACTTGGATCCCATGAGCGGGAAGTCTACTTGCTATCAATTTTATTTGTGGGTCCCACCACTGACTAAAGGTTTGAAAAAAAAAAAAAAAAAAAATGAAAAAAATCTTTTTTTTTTTTTTTTTTTTTTTTTTGTATGAGAATGATATTTTTTTAAAATGATAGTATAGACTATAGAGTAGGTTATCTTCTTAAAATTTTTTTGAATGATATATCTAAAAACTCACATTCTAATTAATATTTTTAAAAATTAACTGTTGGGTTAAAAATTTTATTTAAATAGATTATGCATATCAATTTTTATATTAATATAATATTTATAATCCTTTAATTAGAGAAACTCTATTTATTAACATATATTTAACAAGGGTTAAAGCCAACTATAGTCTCTCTACTTTCCTTTTTCATTCATCGTTCTCCTTGTACTTTGAAATCGTTCAAAGACCTCCCTTTACTCTCCCAAAACATACCATTATCCTCCCTCTACTTTTAATTTTCATACTAGTTACCTCCCTTACTTAACACTGTTACTAACACCAACACTGTTACTAATTAGTCGTCGTTAAACCTCACTCATTCATTAATTTATTATTATTATTTTGGATGAATTTCAATTATAAGCCCTACAACTTCCATGTCACTCACCATGTCACCCACCATGTCACCAATCTAGATCTGCCCCCAAACTTATGAAAATAATACATACACAATTTATTTCTACCAATGTGAAAGTTATGTCTTTAAGATTGTCTACCAAAGAATTAATTTGAAGGTGTACAAAAATTAATTATAGTTAATCTTAATTATAATTAGATTATCGACCAAAGGATCAAATGCACCTGAAGTATCGAACACAAACACAAGTTTTTCTGTGGAGGTTCATCCACTCTCTTTTTTACTAAAATAACAAAATAATCTAACTTAAGATTTAGCATAATAGAACTCTAGAATATTAGTCAATCACCAAAATCAAAGTAAGCATTCTAGAGCAATTAGTATAAGATTGTTATTATCCAAAATTTTCTCGGCATTTATTAGTTTGATATCATTGGCTGATTTGGGTGCAATTATTTTGTTTAAGATATTAGAATATTTAGATCCAATCTTAGTAGAAAGAAACATGCAACAATAAATTGATATGAAACACCAATTATTTGAAATTATCTAAAATTTTTTAGTATAAATTTATTTTATTTTTTTTTATTTCGGTTTTTGTGCTACGTGAAATTTTTTTTGGACAAAAATCTTTTTTTAGTCAAATTGATATATAGGAATATGAACAAAAAGACTAGAAATAATCAAAATTTTTTTTATAAAAATCTTTTGATGACAAAAAGTAAAGAATAATGATAATATTTGGTTATTTTGGTTAATTAACCAAATTATCTAAATAATTTTGGATAATCAAAATTATAACTGAATTAAAAATTTGGTTCGAATGGGGTATAAAAGTCTCATCCAAAATTATTTTGGATAACCAAAAATTTAGTTCAATTTGGATAATCCAAACTTAATATTCAATTCTACTTGTTTGACTCTATACAATTATTGTAACGTATAAATTAATAGATTTTTTATTATTCTTTTATTATATTATCTATAAAAAAATAAATTTGATTAACACAATTAAAAAATAAATCCATTGGTCAATATATAATAGTCCATTTGAAGAATTGTTTTTCTTAATTAGGGTATTTCAAAATCAATTTTTGTATACCTTCAAATTAATCTTTTGGTAGATAATTTAAAGGCATAGCTTTTACGGTGATAAAAATGAATTGTGTATGTATTATTTTATAAGTCTGGGAGCATATTTAGGTTGATGACATGGTTGGTGATATGGAATTTGTAGGGCTTACAATTGAAATTCATCAAAAAAATAATAAATTAATGAATGGGTGAGGTTTGACG